GCTGTTATTATTATAGACATTATATTAGTGTAATGTTACTTACATTACTAATAGCAATATCTTAACAATTAAAAGGAAATATTTCCAAAATTCAAGGTAAAGGGTAAACAGATGTGAGAAACTGTACTAGTAATAGGCTCATTGTACTTGTGGATACCATCTATGTGTAAAGACAATGGAATAAGTAAACTCAGGGGGTATGCACTATTACTACTGCATCACCTGGCAGCAGGTGGGTTAAACAGTCCAGGAACATTATAAGTAGTTCATTATTCATTGTAATCCTACACAGATTTTATTAAGTTGAATAATAAAATCACATTGGTTAGGTGATGCACAAACGTCATGTCAAGTGTCACCTGCATTCTTATAACATTTCAAATCCTAGCACTGAGGTAACTGTGGATGGAGGCATACCAGTAGTTTTAAAATCTTCACAAATTGAATTTGATTTATGTTTTCTGCAAACTTAATTCCCATTGATATGAGATTGGAAGTCAGAAGTTTATGAAAATAAAAGGAAATTTGGCATTAATTTTTATTAAAAAATCATGGAATATACAAGATATGGCCTGGACAAGTTTTACTCATTTCCCTTACTTTTCATGAAAGATTACAAAAAATTACACATTTTTTTCTGTATGTAATGAATAGCGAATGCAATGAGATGAAAACTCCATATGCTTATGACAATGTCCACACCATGAAAAAGAAAAAGGAAAAGTACTTCTTCGTAATCAAATATACAACCATAAAGATTCACTTTACAGAATAATAAAGCCACTTCACTAACTTATTTCACCTTTTATGCTATGATATACTTAGAAGAGTTACATAATTAAATCTGTTACATGAATTTCAGGTGCAAGGAGGACAATCAACAGTAAATTAAACTACAACATTCAGGAAAATGGATTAGTCAGGTAATTCTGGACAAGGCAAAGACATAGACTTGTACATGCAGCCATTTTAACAAATGCCATCATTACAACAAATCTGGTCACTAATGGGAATGCAATGCTTTTGTTTCATGTACAAATTCAATATATGTTAACTAAATAACTCAGCCCTATAAAACTCTCCCAGCATCCAAAACAATATGTTGCCATGGAGAAGTATATAGACTGTAATTAATAATATGTATCACCATTTACAGAAATTTTGGTTAAAATATTTTTAAAATTATGGTATAAAGACAACTACATTAATGAACATCACAATTTTTCTTACACCGATAAAATAGATTTTAGAAGACATAACAGGTCCTATGACTAGGGTATCACCCTTAGGAATAATGAAATAAAGGTAATCAGCCATTGCCCCCCACTTGCTGCGGTTCTGTTGGAAAATTATCACCCAAGATATTAATTCCAACGAGCCATACAATGGCCCCGATACCAGAGACTATGACATCTGGAAAAAAAAGAAATGCTATGATTAATTTTATCATACTTTAGTATATTCTGAAAAAGTACAATAAACTTTACAAAAACACGCACCACATGAACCACACATACGCATACACGCACACACGCACACATGCATGATATACATCATCCAAGATAATTCTGTAGTAATGAGAGAACATCATACTTACAGGTTCGAATCTGCTTCTGCTCAGGATAAGGTGTTGCACAAAATGCCTCCTTCAGGAACCAAATGGCATTCACAGCCCACATAAAGGGCAAAAGCGCAAATCCAGCTGGCAAGAGAAAATCTAAATAATAAGGGTAAACATGATACAATTTTAGCATCAAAATTTGACATACATAATCTTCATATCCCAACAAACTCTGATAAAATTACTGATTTATCTATCTATATTACATCTCATATACATATATAATAGTAATGAGAATTTCCTTCCTATTTATTATTCAATAAAGGAATCATTCTAACAGCTATCTTGTCAAATATACATAGGTGCAGGGTTGTTATATATACATTTAAACCAAAAATCTGTAAAAAAAAATCTAAATAGTTTTTGCATTGTGAGTTTTTCTACCACACACACACACACACACACACACACACACACACACACACACACACACACACACACACACACACACACACACACACACACACACACACACACACACAGATATATATATACATAAACATACATATATAAACATATCCACAAATATACATACATATACATATATACATATATATACATATTTATATCTACATATATTCATATATACAGAAATATATACCTATATATACATATACTTATACATATTCATACATATTACATATACATATACATATATACATAAACATATATATATAGAATAAATATATATACATATTACATACATATATATGTATAAACATATACATATACATACATGTATATATATACATATGTATAAACATATATAGCATATACATACATGTATATTATACATATATATGTATAAACATATATCATATAAGCACGCGCACGCACAGCACGCACGCACACACGCACACACACACACACACATATATAAATGAATGATAAAACACTCTACTGTGTTGATACTTTGATAAAAAAATACACAATGCAAAAACTAGATTTATTGATATTTTGGGTAAAACTGTTGCAAGTTTGATCATGGCTGCTTGACTGCATACATTGACCTCAGAAGGCATTTGATAGTGCATTTCAACTAAATCCTGAAACTCAGGGGAATTTCAACAATAGCAAGCCTGTATATTGATGCTAAGGATGATTGGACTAACAGCAAGCCTGTCTACCAATACTGAAAAGTGTGGTGAAGATCATGAGGAAAAGAGTACATTTTGTACACTTACAAAAATGATAAAAAAATAGGGATAACCCCTTACTTTTTAACTTTTTTTATTATGGCAATTGGCAATTCATATCATCAGATTTATTCAACAGACATATATAGTATAAGGTTGTGGCAGAGTTGGGTAATAAAACCTACATGAAGTATAAGGGTAGCGGAAGAGATGGGTAATGAAACCTACATGAAATGATAGAACAATACAAACCAAGACAAAGTTCTTCTATGGTGATATGTGTGCAAATCTTCCCAAGGGTGCTATACATGAGAGAAAAGAGAAGATCCACCAATTTTGGCCAAGCGCTCATATGGTTACATTGCTGAGGGTGAATTCTAGACGCATGTACTAGCACAGGGTCAAGGGGCATAGCCACCTGCTAGGTATATATATTACTACAGGGGTCCAGCGGGGTAGAGCCCCCTGGCTAGGAATATACACACGGGTTAGGTTAGGTTGGATTGCTGGTTAGGACATTTTGTTAACCAATGGTGACGAGAACTCGGAAGGAAAAAAAAAAAAAAAAAACTCTACGCTCATGGCAACTAAAGGAGGAGCCAATTTGAGCGCGTGAGTTCGGTAAATCAGCCAGAATCCACGGTGCTCACCGCGCTTTGGCACCGCCGCGAGCGTACAGCCGAACGCCAGCTTCTTGAGCGGTTTGTTTCACGCCTTCGGCGCAAACCCATCATACCCTCCCCCTACTATCGGGGACTATCAAATCAAGATTGTCGTGGAGATGGTGATTATATCTCCTAAACGATCATTTGCACAAGGACAATGCCTAGAATCGTTGAAGAAACAGTGGATTTCATTCAGAAAAAAAAATCAAAATCAATTTGAAAGTAACCCACTACCATCTACTACATATGACCACGGGCATCTTCTTTTTCTTTAACATATAGCCACCCTTGGGAAGCATTGCACAATTATTCCCATAGAAGAACCTTGTCTTGGTTTGTATTGTTCTTATCATTTCAGTAGGTTTTATTAAACCAACCTCCTTGCCACTTACCTTATACTAAATATGACAAATATCAGCTAATCAAACACTACAAAACGGTCCACCACTCTGAAAGTCTATGGCAATAGACAAACACAAGTTACACCCTCCAAAAAGCCCCTAGCCAGGAAGCTCCACCCCTGGGAACTGTGCCTTCATACAAATATAGCATAACTAATAATCCAACCTATCTAAACCCCATGAGACATCATACTATATGCTTATATGGTGCCTGGAATTAAAACTGAAAACAAACATTTCTCACAGGTGTTTATCAAGCATAAAAATAGTATAAAAAACTATCCCATTACAGAGTTTGGTGGCCCAAATTAGTGCTTATCCTCGCAATGTTAAAAAAGGAAAGAAAAGCGGAGTCGATCTCGGTCTCTTCTCAGTCCACGTATGCCTTTATTTCCTATTTGCGCGAAATGCCCATTAGATGAAAAGTGCCTCAGTGTGAAGCTGAAATGCAATGAAAATTTGACCTCGTAATGAAAAGGTGTCTAAATATTAAGGCCTGAAATACACTGAAAATTTGACCTCGTAATTGAAAAAAGTGTCTCAATATAAGCCTAAATACACTGAAAATTTGACCCTCGTTAAATGAAAGTGTCTCATATTAAGCCTGAAATACACTGAAAATTTGACCTCGTAATGAAAAGTGTCTCAATATTAAGCCTGAAATGCACTGAAAATTTGACCTCGTAATGGAAAGGTTCATTTAAAGCCTGAAATACACTGAAAATTTGACCTTCGTAATTGAAAGTGTTCAATATTAGCCTGAAATACACTGGAAAATTTGACCTCGTAATGAAAAGTGTCTCAATATTAGCCTGAAATACACTGAAAATTTGACCTAGTAATGGAAAAGTTGTTCAATATTAAGCCTGAAATACACTGAAAATTTGACCTCGTATCTTCTTGGGTTACGAAAATCTGTCACGTCAATTTTCCTGATGCTTCTGGCAGGCAATCAAATAAAAACCCGATTAGGAATCCACAGGTTGTACTTCTTCCTATGAAATCACCGAACAGGAAGCCTCTGCTTTATAAATAATATATTTTAAGGAGAGAAAAAAAAAACATATGGAAGGAGGAGAAGAAAAAAAGTGAAAACAACCTCACACCTCAAGGGACTCCACGATGAATCCTCCTTCTTATCGGCCCAAGAGACATATTTCTGGCCAGATAAAACACGGAGGAGCACTTACCCATAAAGTATTTCCTGCATATGCCCAATTTTCTATCATGGGAAAGTCTTTCAAACTTCATATTTACAGGACAGAGAGGTCAGTCGCTGGCTGTCGTCTTCACAACTCGGGTCTTCGTCCGGCTGGTTCGGCGTTGTGGAGATTGGGTTGGCTTTTCGTGTCATTTTTATTTTATCGTTATTTAATATTTGTTCCTTATAATTAATCTTTGTTAGCATCTCTGTCAGTTTTATTTTTATCGTCATTTTCTATTTGTTCAGTTAATTATCTGCTATCTCTGTCATTTTGTTTTATTATGGCTCCTCGGTCCGGGTCCGTTGTGGCCGATTTGTTGGCTTCTCTGTCAGTTTATAATCATATATATTTATTTTTTTTTATCGTCATTATATTCGTTCCAGTATAATTCTCCTTTTTTGTTAGCTTCTCTGTCATTTTATTTTATAGTCCATTTTATATTTGTTCAGTATAATTATGCTTTTGGTTAGCTTCCCTGTCATTTTATTTTATCGTCATTATATTGTTCATTATATTATCTGCTTCTCTGTCCATTTTAATTTTATCGTCAATCTATATTTGTTCAGTATAAATTTCCTGCTTCTCTGTCATTTTATTTTTAATCCTTATATATATCTATTTTTTATGTTATGGTCACTTTTATATTTTATTATTTTTTTATTTTATCGTCACTTTAATTTTATTTATTTTTTTATTGTTATCGTCATTTATATTTGTTCATATAATTATCTTTTTTTCTCTGTCATTTTATTTTATCGTCATTTATATTTGTTCAGTATAATTATATGCTTCTCTGTCATGTTATTTTAATCGTCAATTATATTTGTTCAGTATGATATTATCTTTTTGTTAGCTTCCTCTGTCATTTTATTTTATCGTCATTTATATTCTGTTCATATAACCTCTGCTTCATTTGTCAGTTGATTTTAATCGTCACTTATATTTGTTCAGTATAGATTATCTGCTTCTCTTGTCATTTTATTTTATCGTCGTTTATATTTGGTTTCAGTAAATTACCTGCTTCTCTTTCGCTCTGTCATTTTATTTTATCATTATATATATTTATTTTTATTTTATCGTCACTTTTTAATTTTAATAATTTTTTTTTTTTATTTTATCTTCACTTAGTTTTGTTCAGTCTAATTAGCTTTTTTTATCCTCTGTCATATTATTTTAGCGTCATTTATATTTGTTCAGCATAATTATCTATTTTTTTCTCTGTCATTTTATTTTAATGTACATTTATATTTGTTCGTATAATTATCTATTTTTTTCTCTGTCCTTTTATTTTTATCGTCATTTATATTGTTTCAGTATAATTATTTGCTCTTTTCATTTTATTTTATCATTATATTTGTTCATATAATTATCTTTTTGTTAGCTTCCCTGTCATTTTAGTTTATCGTCATTTATTTTGGTCCGTATAAGGATCTCTTCTCTGTCATTTTATTTTATCGTCACTTATATTTGTTCAGTATAATTATCTGCTTCTCTGGTCATTTTATTTTCTCAATTAGATATATTTATTTTTATATTTTATCGTCCACTTTTATATTTTTTTTCATTTTTCATTTTATCGTCCCTTATATTTGTTCAGTATACTTCCCTCATTTTTTTTTTTGCTTTCTGATTGGTCGTTTTGAAGTATCATATACATTTTCGTGCGATATTACATTTCTGCGATTATTACTAAAATGTTTCTCTCCTTCTTCTTTTTTCTTTTATAGGGTTTTTAGACTATTTGTCTAGTCTATATCCTGGATCCTTTTCTTTCGTCTTTCTTTCTTTCTTTTCTTTATATTATTCTATTAGTTTCGTGTTTCTTTAGGGATTATTTTTGGGGTCTTAAACATGTCGTCCTTCTTTATTGGGGGAGCTCAGCACCTGGGAGTAATAAGTCTATATTATTATTAAATTCATTATTCATTTTGATTCTTTTTAAAGCTTCCATCAGGTCTGTTCGGTAAGAGGAAATCGTGGACATTGTAGTATATATGTTGTATTACTAAAATGTTTAAATCCAAAGGGAAAACGAGTAAATAGGAGGCTGTGATCGAAACATGCAGGCGAAATATTTTAAGAAAAATCAAAAAAACTGCTTAACATTAACCTATCGACATACCATGAAAGGCATAGAAAGCATAAATTAGTACACGAAGGTTTAATATGGAATTTTTGACCTCTGAAATTAAAAATAGAAATAAAAAATTGAAAAAATAAGTTCTATCAAAACAAAGGCAGTATATATCTTTGGCTTATGATTTGTTCCCCCTAAAATGGCACTTGTTTAATTCGCGCCCCGAAAACAACCCGCAGCATCTCCCGGCGGACGTTTTTTAAAGATTCTCTGCGTTGTTTCCGACTAAACTTCCTGACGAGCCTATGTCAAGGGACAGTGCTGACAAGCCATAAACAGTGGAACGGGATCAGTCACCCAGATATTGTCGAGAAATAACTCCAGCGCCATGAGTTCCAATATCCACTTCCAGAAAGTCAAGTTCGAGAACTCTCGCAGAATCGGAAGGAGAGGAGGAGGGAATTACAAGTGGGCGATAAATTCATCCGCTGACGAAGAATCCCTTCCTGGCCTGCCTTCTACAAGGAGAAACTCTACAGGTTTAACAGTCTGCACACCACAGAGCCTAGTAGACCAAAGTTCAAGGATGAATGCAGGTATCAAGTGGGACCCCGAGATCAACGAGAAGGTGTCAGTCTTTCTATGGCGATATACGAAACTGGAAATCGATGCCATTGTTCAACGCGGCCAAAAACAGCCTGCTCGGAGGTGGAGGAGTTGACGGTGCCATCCCACCAGGGCTAGCAGGGGGGCCATTCCTGTTGAATGATAGTGCCAAGACTCTCAACGGATGTGATTACAGGGCGATGCCAAGATTCACCGGGGAGATATGACCTTCCTGCTCGTTAGTCATCCACCGTCGGGCCTAAATTGGGAGAAGCCGTACATGCTAGAACAGTGCTATCGGAGCGAGGTCCATGCAGGTCGCGCTGGAGAATATATCAAAACCATCGCCTTTCCTTGCATTTCCACGGGGTGTATGGTTACCCTAATGAAAAGGCTGTGCAGTTGTCTGCCCGTTGTGAGAACCATGCTGGAAGCCCACAAGGGATAAGTTTGAACGCGTCATTTTCTGGTCTTTCTAGATATTGACAAGGGGGGAAACTGTATAATCGGTACTTGCCAATAATATACCCTTTAAACTAAGACCTTAATAAATATTTGTTAATTCTTCACAAAAGTTGTGTGATTACTTTTTTTTCTAAGTTATTTGAATTTTACGTATACTTTCTTTAAGAGTGGAAGAAGAAAAGCTAAAATCATTTTTGAGTAATTACTTAATCTTGCTGCATAAACTTGATGTTAGATTTCAATAAATTGAATTTTTGTGTAAATCCCAAATATTTTTAACCACAGTATTGTTAATATTATATAATATATATAGTATATATAATATATATATACTATATATATATATATATTATATATATATAATATATATATATGTATAATCACACTTGAAAGTATATGTATAAAATATCTAAATATGGCATATATATGAATATTTATAGGGCATACAGTTCTATACATAAATATGCACATATTAAACTATATTGATCACAATAATTAGCTTGCCAATTTTGGATGCTAGAATACTGTTAGCTTTTTGGGGGCGCCTACTGATGCTTGTGTTACATAATCCAAAAAACAGTCATTTACCAAAATGTAAATCAGTGCAGCTTAAACTGAACTGTATGAACAATTTTTTCATAACAGAATGGAATATGAATTTTTTTTTTAAATATTATAAAGTGCCATCAAAACCTCTTAAAGAATTAATTTCTAATATTTCTATTTTTTGTGAAAGGAAATGTTTCCAACATAATTTGTCTATTTTATGATTTACGTAAGAAAAAAAAAAAAAAAAAAAAATTGGGATGTGACTTACATTTCATTATATATGTATATTTTTACATGTGGACCATATTTTAAGGTTGGCAGTTTACCATAGTGTCCTCCATGCACAAAAATCAGGGATTTTGCATAATTAATGCTAAGGCAGAAATGTTACCTGCTATTAAAAAGTACTGATACCTTATACCTTTATTTTGTTAGAAATGCTTTGCCTTTTGTGTGGCTACAAGTTGCCGAATAAATAAGTTTAAATGGTTAAATTTAAATAAGTATTAAATGTCTAGTTAGTACAGAAAGTGTGATTTCGGATATTTGGTTAAGCTGCTTTTCTTTTCTTTTTTTTTCTTTGTTTCTCTTTTTTTTTTGAGAGAGGTATGGCAAAAGAATTTCTGTGTGGTTATACAGTCACCATCAGGTTGTTCTTATGTACATAATGAAAGGACAATAAGAGAGATGCATGTAATAGAAAAGAAAAAAACAATCTGTATTGTGAAAAAAATAAATAATAATAAAATTGATTTAGAAGAGATGGAGTATTATAAAGTTATATGAAACATACATAGAATTATTGTTTTTATTAAAAATCCTTCTGTGGATAAGGCAACTTCACTACGACGTGTGATAGCTAATGTTATATAGTATGTTTTTCATTATATTCATTTTTAAGGCAAAAATATCAGATAAGCATGTCAGCAGTAATGAAATATCCTCTAATTATTTTACCTGTCTAGATTCAACTGTGGTTTATATATTGTGGTGTGTGTGTGCTTTGTGTGTGTGTGTGCGTGCGTGCGTGTGCGTGTGCATGTGCCATATATAGATAGAGATCTGGCTTGGAAAAAAGTTGGTAAATTAGTCTATACTTTTTTATTTCTGCTGTTTTGTTTTTCTCATGTTCATCATACCAAACAATGTTTTTTTCATGCTCATATTACAAGCAAGAGTGTTTTTTGGGGATGTTCATAATTGCAGTTATGTTAACATCAGAAAATACAAGAACAGACAGGCGTTATAGTTAATAAATATATATTGAGGTTATAATACTCCTTCATAATAAGCAACCTTGGAGTTTCAAGACAGTATCATTCATTTGACTCTGACATAAATGATATCTA